CACAAGGTACAATGAACGTGAGAGTGACAATTTCTACCTTCAGCCCTGTCACAGGCATCACCTTGTTTTCAAATACATAAGCTGGGTTCATGTACTCCTGCTTGAATTACCTCTGCTAATATATCAAGTTTAGCTGAAATAACTTTTTAAGAAACTTGACTCAAGAAGGAGGAGGGCAGAAAAAAGCAACACCCTGTCAGAGTCTTGGAAGTCCTCTTTAGGCCCTGCTCCTCCTCTGACATCTTCAATATGGTGGCTGTGAGTCCATTACTCATCTCCAAGAGAGTCTTAGGATGATATACTGTTGGTTAGTGGGAAATTTTTTCCATCTATTGCCTGGACTGGGCATCATGTAGGATCTTGGCTCCCTGACGAGGGATCAAACCTGTTCCTCCTGCAGTGGGAACACAGGATGTTAACCCCTGGACTCCCAGGGAAGTCCCAATGTCACAGCTCTATATTCAGAGTCTGGTGCATGAGAAATGTCCCCAAATGATTGATTTATTATCTTTCAAGACACCACATATCTGCTTCAGAAATAATTCCTACTCTTACTCTGAAAAATTCTCGTGCAGGCTGTGAGACAGAGAAAATTTAGCTCATTTTGGTGCCTTTTTTCTTTTTATCCTGAAGACTTATCTTTTAATGAGGTTGAAACAGCAATTAAGACATCGCTAGGACTGATGCTGAAGCTGAAACTCCAATACTTTGGCCACCTCATGCGAAGAGTTGACTCATTGGAAAAGACCCTGATGCTGGGAGGGGTTGGGAGCAGGATTAGAAGGGGACGGCAGAGGATGAGATGGCTGGATGGCATCACCAACTCGATGGATATGAGTTTGAGTAAACTCTGGGAGTTGGTGATGGACAGGGAGGCCTGGTGTGCTGCGATTCATGAGGTCGCAAAGAGTTGGACACGACTGGGCGACTGAACTGAACTGAACCCTTTTAGAGGCTCAGTGAAATACATACTGATGACGTCATAAGATTCTTGGAGGTTGCCTTCAAGTAATCTGGTGGGAGGGAGCACCAGACAAAGATGGCTGGCCATGAATTGATAATGTTTGGAGCTTGGTGATAGGCACATGTGGGTTTGTTACACTGTTCTGTTTTATTGTGTACTTAGATTTTTCCATTATAAAACTTTTTAAAGTGTGTAAATTAGAAGTAAAATTTTTTTCAACTTTAGGGTCATCTTTTTATTGACTGAATGTTTCAAACAAACCAGGAAGTCAACATCTTTAAAGTAATGTTAAACTGTATTCATTAATTTCTTTGTAATAGTCATTAAAGAGAATAACATAAATAGTTATTAAAAATAAATATATTTTATTATATATAGGTATGTATAACAAAATAAACTACATACATAAATTTAAAATATATAAAATATTTATTTTTGTCTTCAGAGACTCAGTGGTATTTAATTATGCATTTTAGAAGTAAAAGTTTTAAGTGGATGGATGGCTGTCAGCTCACTGCTGAGTCCTTCCCCAAGAATTTCCCTTGACTGAAAGGAATTATCTTGTCTAAGTTACCGCTTTCCCCCAGGGATGCCCTGGTAGCCTGCATCCCATAATTAGTAGGTGGGGGGGACAGACCTGGCTCCCTGGCCTTCTTTTGAGTTACTTCTAAAGGCCCATCTCAGTTGTATAGCTTCTCTGGGGCTTACGGAAGCCTTTGTTATGATGACATCACAGTACAACTTCTGTTTCCAACCTAGACACTGTAACATTGTATGCAGTCTCAAGGGTGTCCTGGTCAACATTGAACAGCCAGCTCTCCAGACCACTAATCTGCAGTGTTTGCCAGTTTCTGTGGTGCAAATACCCCCAACAAGGCCAATTTCCAGCTACCAAGTTGATGTCACTGAAAACAGTTGGGAAGAGATGAGCACCATTGGTTCTGGTGACACAGTGCAAGTCACAGCTCTCCACCGTGGGCCAACTTTTCTCAGTGAAATTCTTAAAAGCAAATCTTAGTCTTTTTTTTTTTTTAGGGCTGCTGCTGCTAAGTCGCTTCAGTCGTGTCTGACTCTGTGCAACCCCACAGACGGCAGCACACCAGGCTCCTCTGTCCCTGGGATTCTCCAGGCAAGAATACTGGAGTGGGTGACCCAAACTAAATCAACAAAAAAACATCAACTCTTTTTTATATTGCCAGTTTGGGTGATTGGTTTATTAAAGAAATTAATGTATCACAGGCAGAATGAAATGAAGTTGGTCACCTCAAATGTTTCAGTGAAACACACACATACATACACACATACAAAACACCACACCGCAACACCATAAGACAATGTCCCACAATAATTACCCAGAAACATTTAAAATACAGACTCCTTTTAATTTCTTAACCGTTACACAGCTCCATGCAGCATTCTGAGAAAAAAGACTTCAAATATGTTGTTCTTAGTGAAACTGGGGAAAACTGCCAAGGAAGTATCTGATAAGTTCAAATTATAATTGTTGTTATTGCCAAAATCAAATCCTATATTTAAGAGAGCCAAGGTTTCCTCACTGAAACTTTTAAGTCAAAGTAACTCATTTATAGTATTTGTTATCTCTGAAGACAAACACCAAGGAGCATTGCATGTTTGGAGACTTTGACTTTCACCTGACTTAAGAGCTACTGTTGGAATAAATCAATAATCAGAAGTTGAAGATTTTTTTCAGGGGTGGGAAGAAAGAAAGGAAACAAGATCAGTGGAACAAGGTCATGAAAAGAATAAGGAACATCTTGTAAGAAATGACACAAAGGAGAACTAGAGAAGAGATACTTTTGTTCAAATGAATGGCAGGTTATTCTTCAATATTGGGTTCATTTTTGGGGAAAGAGAAGGTATCTTGAAATGGGAACAAAATGTCCCATTGGTGTGAAAAGTTTAGAATAATTAATTTATTTTAACAAAATAAACACTCTTAATCACCAACAATCAGAACAAAGTTCCTGGTAAGTTACTAGAGTTACCAGTCCCAATGAAAGTGAAAGTCGCTCAGTCGTGTCCATCTCTTTGTGACCCCATGAACTATACAGTCCATGGAATTCTCCAGGCCAGAATACTGGAGTGGGTAGCCTTTCTCTTCTCCAGGAGATCTTCCCAACCCAGGGATTGAACCCAGGTCTCCCACATTGCAGGTGGATTCTTTATCAGCTGAGCCACCAGGGAAGCCCTGGTTCTCAAATTATGACCTGGTTGACAATCCCTTGGGAAGACAGACTGAAATGCAAGATTCCTGGGCACTGGAGCTATTCTGATTCAGTGGAAGTCTGGTTTGGGGCCCAGGGATCTTTATTTTAATAAGCTTACTAGTACATTCTGAAGCCCATGGTCTCTGTCAAACCAAAACATGTTGAAAGGCAAGATAGTCAACAACAGGATATTGCATTCTGTAAGATTAGGAAGGTGTCTATGCCATTTTGCTATTATGCAAATATACCCTCCTTACAAATATCAGTCTGGATCCTTCATCTTCTGCTTCCCTTGAAGGTCATTTTTAGAAATAGCATCTTCCATCTATTTATTAGTCAGCCAGATTCTCATCTCTGAATCTTTAAACTCTTGCTCTGTAAAGAAAGAGGAAAGTGTGCTTGTATGTGTGTGTGCATGCTATATGCATCCTTCACAGTTGAGAGGGTTGGGGGTGTAAGACATTATAGTTTTGTTAGAAAATTATCTTTCCAAACAAAGCCAACCAAAGGGACATTTTTTTGCTCTGGTATAGCTATGGAGACCCAATAATACCTACTGAACTGAAATCATACTTTTAGATTTTTTCTTATAAAATGAAAAATTCTCATAAGTACCCTCTTAGCCAATTTCACTCTATAAGACATATATCCTTATATTATTAACCCTCTGGGACCTAAACCCCTCTAATGTACTCAGGAAACATTCCATTTGGATTGCAGTTGTTCTCACAAGTTTATATTCAACACAGACGGTCTGCCAGAGCTAGGTTCTTGATCTCATGTTGGAGAATGTAATCAACGGCTCAGCACTCTGGCATCTTGATGAAGATTCATTTTGGACAATTAACTAAGATCAATTTCATTTAAACATACATTTTCAAGAGTAAAGTCCTACGTGCCTTCCTTTTCTTGGCACATGTATACAATATATATTTTCTTTGCACAAGGAATGCTGCACTGGTTCGCTGAGTTGGAATAGAGTCTCTGTTGGAATTTAGTTACCGAAATCAGCCATTGGATGGAGCAACTGAAGTTTCAGAACCCACTTCCTGTCCTCTTCTGCTTATAGGACTCCTTACAAAAATTCAGGGGGAACTTTATCATGGGATCCACTTTTAAGCTGATGTACCTATTAAGGTAATGAAGTGAAGTGAAGTGAAGTCGCGCAGTCGTGTCCGACTCTTTGGGAACCCCATGGACTATATAGCCTACAAGGCTCCTGTGTCCACGGAATTTTCCGGGCAACAGTACTGGAGTGGGTTGCCATTTCCTTCTCTAGGGGATCTTCCTGACCCAGGGATCAAACCCGGGTCTCCTGCATTGCAGTCAGACGCTTTACCATCTTAGCCACCAGGGAATAGTTTCCCCCATAAAAAGCTTTCCACACTGATCACCTTTATCCTTTAAAGAGCTGTGAGCATCTGGGCCCCCAGAACGCGGGGGTTGTGGGCGGGGTTTCTGTTCCAGCGCAGCGTGAGAGTCGCGTCCATCTGTGTCATGTGAAGTCAAACCTCTCTTGAAGTGATTTGTTTAGAGTGTCATTTGATGGAGTGGAATGTTCTGTAACTCATTTGAACTATTACAGAAGCTTTGGTAAAAGGTCACCACTGCTTTTTAAGAGTTTCCCAATCTGGGCACCATCTGGGGGCTTGTTAAAGATAAGGTTTTCTACTGTTTTTTTTCCATACCGACTAGATTCAATTAGTAAAGGGCTACTTTTGCAGAGAAGTTTGTGTTCACATTTAGAGAGGGAGAGACAGACAGACAGGCCGATGTATAGAGACAGAGAGAGACAGCGGCAACTCGAGTAAAGGCCCACTTAGCAGCCAAGTGGAGTGCTTGTGCCAGAGGACAGTACTGTTTAATGGGTCTGAATGGAGGGGTCGGAACTGAAAAGCGGAGTAGCATTTACTTTTAAATGTCACTTTTGAAACCACCCGTTCTTCAAGTGTTGTCTTGGGAGTCCACTCTAGAGGAACTTGCATTTCCCCACGTCCTCCACGTCCAGCAGGAAAATGACAGCTCGTTGCTCAATGTAGTAAAACCGATGCGAAAGGTTCAATCCGCAGCGCACCAAGGACGCTCACACCTTCATCATTTTAGTCCAGGCCTACAGTTGGCTGGTTGCTTTCTTCCCTCTTCCCCATGAAACAAAAGTCTTGCATTTTCCAAACCTCAAAAGCTCGGCTATAAAACTGCAGGAAACCAGGAAGAGGAGAAGGAAAGTTTCCTGTAAAGACGTCTTTGGTCTTGCTGGCCAGGTCTGCGCTCTCCCTTCAAACACTCAATATGGCTTCTGACACTTGTCCTTGGAAAAAGTCCAAATGTGGCAAATGGTAGAGACAACATTTCTTTACCCTCCTGCCTGGAACTTCCCATGATATGGATGAGTTCTAGCTGGTTCTTTCATGGGTAACAAAGAGTCCAGCTACTGCCCACCGCCCTTGCCCCCATCTGCAGATAAAATTAGCGAACACATGGTGAGATCTACTGAAGTAAAAAATCAAAACTCTCTCATTTGGCTGGAATTCCTAAAAGGGTCTGGACCGAAGAGGCTGCACAGTAGCAGCTAAAACGCAGGCTCTTTGCCATTACAAATATTCTAAGAAATGTGTGTGTGGTGTGTGTGTGTTTGTGGCAGGATGCTTGGGGGAGGAGAACGTTAATGTCTCTGTAGAGACATTAAAAACACAACGATTGTGTCTCCCTTGGTTCAATGAAATTGTTTTGGAAACCAAAACTGTCCTTAGAAAGGAAGAGAAATCCATTTATATTCCTTTTGAGGCAAGGAAGGAGGTCTTTCTGGCCAAGCCTTTAGGGTCCATTTAGGTCCAGGAAACTCAATCCTCAAGTTCAAAGCTCATCTCATCATAGAGTTCCGGGCGTGCTGACTTCCTGTTCCGGGAATATTTCACATCCAGGAGGTCACCCATCTCATCCAGGGCTTCCAAAACCTGCAAAGAGATTGCCTTCCATTAGTTTTATTTAAACTCCCAAGTGGCCTTGCCCTCTGAGGCCTCACAGAAAACCACACTCTTCTTTTCCCAGCTTATTTGATTTTTAAAGAAAAGGAAAAAGATCCAAGTCAGTAAGCTGAGGTTCATAAACCAGCCCTAGAGGAATGTTAGAGGCTAATGCATTTTATTTCGTATTCTTTAACAGTCTAACTCCACATTACACATGTTTAAGGTGTGGGGATGTGAAGAGAGGAAGAAACGCATTTGATTCATGCTTACCATTGAAGTCTTTATTTCTAAAATTTAATGACAGTATAAACTTGTGAGATAAAAAGAAAAAACTTTGCAGATTACATTTGAGTTAAGTCTTCATGACACAAGAAATCAACCTGATCAGGAAGAAAATGAACATGGTGGTAACTAACTCCTTCCCTGGTGGCTAAGACAGTAAAGAATCTGCCTGCAATGCAGGAGACTGGGGTTTAATCCCTAGGTAGGGAAATGAGCATCCTCCTCTCTCTCTCCCATGCCTCCCCCATCCCTCCCACTCTCAGCTTTTAAATACTCAGCTCTATGCTCCATAGAATAATAGAGTTTAAAACCGCAAGGAACCAAGAACTCATCTATTTCAATTCTCTTAATCCAGGCAGGTAAACATACAATTTTATAAATGAAATTCCCGGGTCATGTGGCAGTTCTACTTTTATCTTTTGAGAAACCTCTGTACTGTTTTCCATGGTAGCTGCACCAATTTATGTTCCCACAACAGTGCACAAGGGCTCTCTGCTTTCCACGTCCTTGCCAACACATGTGACTTGCGTTCTTTATGATGACAGCCATTCTGATAGATGTGATGTAGTATCTCAAACTATTTAACTGTTTTTGGTCTCTGTTGTAAAATGTGTATAATATGCTGGTAATGCAAAAATCTCAAAATGGATTTATGTTGAGGCTCATTGCTCAACTACCTGAAACACACCAGGACTCAAGCAAAGTTGACTTTATGCAGCTTTTGCTGCAGCAGGGAATGCACACTCCTGAACCATCTTGGTAACATCTGGGAAGAGTCACTTGTCACCTGTGGGCTCATGCATGAGAGGGTTCTAAGGAAATAGGGGGCCAGTTCTGGGTAGGATGCTGCCAAGAAGTGAGAGAAAGTCAGTGTTGGTCATATGTAGACTTCTTATTTGGAAGGTAGGAGGATTGAAAGGCGGTTAGAGCTGACCTTGGGCTTCTTGGGTGGCACAGACAATGAAGAATCTGCCTGCAATGCAGGAGACCTGGGTTCAATCCTTGGGTCAGGAAAATCCCCTGGGGAAGGAAATAGGTACCCATTCCAGTATTCTTGCCAGGAGAATTCGATGCACAGAGGTGCCTGGTGGGCTACTGTCCATGGGGTTGCAGAGTCGGATGTGACTGAGCAACTAACACTACCACTGCTACTACTAAAGCTGACCTCAGTACTTTACTGAGGACTGCCGCTCATGTTAGAAGAAGTACATTTTAAGCCGCTTTGTGTTTGTAAAGTGGCCCTGTTTCTGTCTTCTTCCAAACATGGTCACTGAATAGACTTGTCTAATAATGTGCATTTTTGGCAAGTGTTGTCTATGTTCAGTCACCATCTTAATGCCCTGACTTTCCAAGGGATCATTTTTTTGTATTCTCTTTCATGCTTTTCCATGCATTCCAATGCTCAAAATTTTGTATTGATTTGATGATCTCAAAAGTTTAGAGGCGTTTGTCTAGGCAAGAGTTCCATGCCTCTTCCAAAACCAGGTAATCTGTAGGAATTACTCGTGAAGACAATCACAGGGTCTGATATCTACTGAACTGGGTATTCATTGAGTGCCTCAATGCTGTTTGTGTCAGAAATAAGATGCAAACCCACCCAGGCTACCCATCCCTTCTGCTGTCTCTAGAGCTTGCACCTGGGCACCTCAGCTTCTCCCCACACCTGCAGTGTTCCACTCATAACTCCCTTCTTCTATCAATGTGTAAACATGCTCAAGTCTCCCTCTACTTTCAAAAGCTTTTTCTAAACTGGTTTTTATTGCCTTTACAAACTTCTCGAAAATCTTGTCCACCCTTTCTTACCATCATTCATTACATTTAGAAGAAACGATTTGTTAAAATTAATATACTGGGAATATGCACTCATTTTAGAGAAACTGGACAATGTAGAACAGAAATAGCAAAGTTCTCCCATCATCTCAAAACCTAGGGTTAGTTCAGTTGTTAATATGTCATCTAATGAATCGTTACTGTGTTTTGTTATTGTTGTTGTTGAGTTGCTAAGTCACATCTGACTCTGTGAACCTATGGACTGCAGCATGCCGGGCTCCTCTGTCCTTCACTATCTCCTGGAGTTTGTTCAAATTCATGTTCATTGAGTCAGGGACGCTATCTAATCATTTCTTTCTGTGTTGCCCCCTTCTCCTTCAATCTTTCCCAGCATCACATACTATGTTCTATACATTGGTTTGAGTCCTAAAGATATAATGGTGAAGCAGAAAGATACAGACCCATGTGTGTATGTGTATATGTGTGGTTGCACACGTGTGGAATTCAAGCTCAAAGTATCATCTTCATTTTTAATTCTTTGTATTCTTATTTCTGTTCCCTTCACTCCCCTAAAACGCTCTGCTCTGAGCAACAGCAAGCTCTTGGTAACTGCTAAGCTAATGATTTCTTCTCCCCTCTTACAGCATTTGGATGTTCTGCTGATTCATCCCCAACTTGAAGCTTTTGCCTTTTTAGTGTTGGGCAGTACACCAGCTCGTGACTTTTTGGATTGCACTAGCTCCATCTGAGCCCACGTCTTCATCTGTGATTCCTGTATCCACCCACCGATGCAGGCACTTCTGGAGTCTGCCCTTGGCCCATGTACTTATATCTGGACAATTCTTTCTTCTACCACTGACGTTAGTGGTTTCCCCTTGATGTGAAGTGAAAGTTACTTAGTCATGTCCAACTCTTTGTGACCCATGGACCATAGCCCACCAGGCTTCTCTGTCCATGGAATTCTCCAGGCCAGAATACTGGAATGGGTAGCCTTTCCTTTCTCCAGGGGATCTTTCCAACCCAGGGATCCAAGCCAGGTCTCCTACATTGCAGGCAGACTCTTTACCAACCTAGCCACCTGGGAAGCCCCGATCTCCCCTTAGTTCCTCAAATTCCTCAAAACTCCAGTCTTGCATGTTCTCCTAAGCTCTAGAATTGGCTTTTCCTTTTTAAAAATTTCATTAAAGTATAGTTGATTTACAATGTTGTATTAATTTTCTCTACATAGCAGAGTGATTCAGTTATACATATATATATATATTGTTTTTCACATTCTCTTCTATTATGGTTTGTCACAGGATATTGAATTTAGTTCCCTGTGCTATACAGTAGGACCTCACTATTTATCCATCCTGTGTATAATAGTTGAACTTTTCCACCGATGGCTCATAGACATGTAATCCCTACATGTCTACAACTGAGCTCATTTGATTCCCCTAGTCCTGCTGATGATTTGCTATTCTTTGCCACATACCTTATTTCCTAGTAACTTAGCTCCGCTGTTCTTCATTCACTAGAGGGCTAGAGACCTCGGATTATCCTTGATTCCCTGGCCCACATGTGTCCTGCATCCAAATATTTGCCAAGTCTTGGCAGACATTGGCACATGCGTGCACAATGTCCGTTCCTAGATTAGTTTCTTTTGCTCCCATTGCCCTTGACCTCATCATCTCTTATTTTGCTCAAATAGCTCCATACATGTGCTGACTCACTGCACCTCCATGCTCCTGTGGTTGTCTTTATTAGATTGTCATCTAGAATGTCTTCCCTGTGGTTGTCATTCTTTACCAGATGAATTTATTCTCTCTGGTATTATTATGAAGTGCCTATTTATAGTATGTCCTCTTAGACTTTTTGCCCCAGAGTTTTGCATAGAGCAGACATCTGATAGTGTTTGCTAAACTGCATTGATTTTTATGAGACAGTTTTATCAACCCCAAACTGACTGACCTGGCTTGGATCTGTGATATTATTCATTCATACAGAGGTTGAAATTTAAGGACAGTAAAATGGTAAAATGGTTTTGAAATCCTTTGCACCTCAGGTAGGATGAGCTTTTACAATAGGTCTGTCTTTGCTGTTAGCTTTCCAAATGTGGCTTATTTGGGTCCTATTTTCTTGTGATGGACATAGTGGCTATGACCAGTGCCAGGATGTAGGCAATTGCTTCTAAAATAGCACAAGAAATCAGCATCAGCACTTAAGAAGAAGCCAAGAGCAGGATGTCTGGCTTCTCAGTCAGTCTTTGCTGTGAAACCAAAACAGCGACTTGACTCAAGTCTTCACTGAGTTGGTTTTCTTTTCTATCTGCTGAGTTGATCACATTGTTGTGCATTGCTGGGACTCCCCCCCGACCCTTTTTTTAAAGTAGTGAGTGTTACTGCCGTTGTTTTCTTACACCATCCAAAAGAAATCTAGGGAAAGCCAAGCAAGCTCTGTAAACGAAGGTGCCCAGACTCCGAGGCCCCCGACCCGCTGCCTCTCCTGGGCTGTGGGCACTCACCGTGTCCAGCATCTCCCGGGTGTGTGCTGCTGAAACACAAAACCGAGCCCGCGCTTCTGCAAGGGGTGTAGCTGGAAATCCAACGACCACCACACCGATTTTTCTCTTTAATAGATGCCTTGCAAAAGCCCTAAGGGAAAGATTAAGAAGGAGGTTAAGTGAGAGATGATGAAATTCTACTGCAAAAAAAGGGAATGTGGTTAATGACTTTGTTTTTAAAAAATAAGTAGAAGATAACTGAAGTAATGAAACTTCCATCAAATACAGTTGACCAGGAAATGTGGCAGCCAGTCACTTGCCGGCACCCATAACTGTGTGTGTATATTGTGGGACATGGCTCATTCATTACACAACTGTGTGTTTAGTCTTTGACATTGAGCAGAAAATGTGGATGGACATGGACATGCCCGTGACCCTGTTTGAACAAATTTGCATATGTGTAAACTTTTTGTCTATAGAGTTCCTGAGGAATAAAAGCCCCAACACACTTGTAGGACAAGAATAGGCACACAGACTTCGAGCAGGGACCTGTGGGCACAGAGGGAAAGGAGAGGGTGTGATGAAATGAGAGAGCAGCGTTGACATATACACACTACCTTGTGTAAAAGGGACAGCTAGTGGGAAGCTGCTGCATACACACAGAGCTCAGTCCTGCTCCGTGATGACTCAGAGCGGTGGGATTGGTGGAGGTGAGGTGGGAGGGGGGCTCAGGAGAAAGGGGATGTATGTATACATATGACTGATTCATGTTGTCGTACACGGAAACTAAGGACATTGTAAAGAAATTATACTCCAATAAAAAGAACCGCAACACAATGCAACTACATAAAGAAACAATGTGTTAGATGAAAACCTATATGCTTTAAATGCTTAATACGATACCGATAATTCAGTGTGGAGATTTCAGACGCCTCTACTTCATGACTGTAATTTCAGAATCAGGATCAGAGGGTCTACGGGAGACAACCCCAAGCCACATTCTCTCTCCAGAGACAAGGATTTTATTTTCCATCAAGTCAAAGATAGGAAATAGCAAGGGTCTTCTCACGTTTTATGTGTGCCTTCAGGGATAATAAACCCATTGGCTGGACTAAGGGGGGGATGGGGAAGGGGGTGGGAGGGAAAGAAGTGTGCACTCACAGAGTCCTTCTCTAGAAGGAGCCTAGAGGCGTAGATCATAGAACTACAAAGCCCTTTGATACAGAGTAAAACCTTTTAAAGCTATGATTCCTTTCTCTTAACCACTTCCAGCATCTTTTTATTTCAGAGCTAATCTCAGTAATGATTCTAGAATACTGAGCTCTCAAAGTCTGGAAGTTTCTTGCACTGAGATCCAACCTCAGACACAGGCTTATGAGTCCAAGTGAGGGAGTATTTCCCTGTCTGTGCTCATCACTCCCCACAGGAATCCTTCATCCCTGAGAAACTCTGCCCACAAGTGGGGTAAATGTTTCAGATCTTCTAAGCATTAAGAGGTGGTTGTTGCTGATTAGTTGCTAAGCCATGTCCGACTCTGTGAGCCCAGCCTGCCAGGTTCCTCTGTCCAGGGATTTTCCAGGCAAGAATATTGGAGTGGGTTGCCATTTCCTTCTCCTTTGCAGGTGTCTTATTTTAGGCTAGAAGCTGACAGCACCACAGAAACCCTGAGCTTCAGGAAGAATCCTCGATGCAGCCACGGAGAGGAAGGGTGTGGGGTCCCTCCTTCTCCTCCTGTTTAGCTGACGGCTCTTTGGTTTCCTCATGTAGAAGGCGGGTTATCAGAGGAAGTGATGGAGATTGCAGGGACCACCAAACACAGCCTCTCTGGCCCCCTGGCTCGGGCAAGGCGAGATTCAGCCTTTGATTTGGAAAGGTTGCAAGGAGATGGAGCTTTCTAACTGAGGAAGCTTGAAAAGCGGCCATTCTTTTTCTTTCTTGATCACCCTATGGAAGGCTGCCCACGGAACTGCACAGGATGAGAGCTTGTAATTGTCTGAGAAACAAGTCAAGTGCTTTTATTGCTAGAGAACAAACCACCTGACCCATGATTTCTGGCTGGCTTTTGGGACTCCCCGAAGACCGTTTTCACTGTCTGCACTTCTCTCTTTGTACCAGAGGAAGTGAGTTTTGCCAAAGAATGCAGAGTGAAATATATGACTGTTGATTCATTAGGTTAATCTGAGGCCTCCCTGGAGCATGTCTAAATTTAAAGCTTACAACTTACACAACTAAAGCTAGCCTCCTTCAGTTTATGTATATGGTTGTTCTGAACGTTCAGCATAATGAGCCTCTGGGTCTGTACTACCCAAATCAAATTAGAGCTGGCATAGCCTGAAAGAAACTAAACTACTTGAATAAGAAGAAGAATAAAATGTTAGCCCTGCACTGCTCACAGCATCATTGCATTTTCTGCACCACCATCCTCCAAGCATATGACGAGGCCTGGGGCTGGAAAATGTCAGTCCTCTACCGAATAGGAAATACAATTCTTCTGATGCTTTTAGTGAATTTTTATCGGTGAAATCACATTCTACTCTACTACATAGAAGAGTCCAGTGGTAGAGCTGCAGTAAGACTTTATTCAAAAGGATACCTGGCTGGAGATCATATTTCTATTCTGCAGTGGGGGGAAATGTGGAGAAATCGCAGTTCTTTAGTAAAATCAAAGGTTTTCAAATGAGCAAATGGAAAAAGTGTTCAGACACTGGCTGAGACAACTAACTCCCTGTTTCAAAAGTTTTTCTGCATATAAACTTTCCACTGAAGGAATATCAGAGAAGAAAACAAGACCAGGAAATGGCTCCTCCTGCCAACAGTAAATAACGTTACCTTCTGGAACTAACCTGTTCTAAGTTTCCTTAACAACAGAAATAATTAGATTTTTTTTTGGTACTAATTGTACAGTCCCTGTTGTACTAATCCATGCCCTTTTGATTCACTGATGATGACATTAAAGAGGGTTAATTTATACTCGGCATTGCTTTAAAGAGATGTGTATTTCCCCCTGTGAACTAAAGCTTGAGAGGCTGTGCAGTGCATTGAAAAGAGCCCTGGTTTAGGAGGCAAATGGAACTGAACTCTGGGCTCTAGTAGCTACAATAGGAGTGACACTGAGAAAACAGTTTTGACTTTTGTGCATCTAGGTATCTTCATTTGTAAACCTGAGCTAGGCATCCCACCTTCAATGGCTGAACATTGGGTTTAAGAGCCTTCCTTAGCATATAATTAACATTCAGCAATATTAGCTCCTCCTTAAAACTATCTTACATGGGAAGGTACTAAATCATTTGACCTATCATCCAAGGTCCAGCTGATGCAGGGCATAGCAAGATCTTTTCCTACTCTTTTCCTGGAAGTTTTATTTTTATTAAAGGATAATAATTATTTTACTTTATTCTGTATAAAGTAAAGATTTTTAAAAATATTGTAATTATTTTAAAGTAATTATTTTAAAAAGACATGCGACCACAATGACTCAATCTTACACTCTGTTGAAGCTAGTAATAATAATCATTGTAGACATAGTAGTAGAAATAGTTGTAATAATGGTGTCTACCACTGACTGAGTGCTTATTCAGTCACTATATGAAGTGCTTCATATGCACTATTAACACCATTAAAAATAATAACCAACGCTGAGTAGACCCTATGTAAGAGGTGACGATGCTGATAGACTTCATCTTGTTTAATCTTCAAATGATATTAGGAAATAGGTCCTATTCAATCCCATTTTCTCTCTTTTTTAAAATTTATGTTTAATGGGAAGATAACTGTCTTAGGATGCCATTTAGTTTCCGCTGTGCGGCTTGAATCAGCCACAATGACACATGCGTCCCCACCCTCCTGAGCCTCTCTCCGCCCTCCGGTCCTCGGGGCGCCAACTGAGCTCCCTGAGTTACACGCAGCTTCCCACTAGCTGTCTGCTTTACACACGCTAGTTTATACATGTCAGTGCTGCTATCTCACTTCATCCCACTCTCTCCTTCCCCCTTCACTGTCACAGTCTTTATTCTTGCCCTGCAAATAGGTTCATCAGTACCATTTTTCTAGATTCCATATACATGTGTTAATATATGATATTTGTTTTTTTTATGACTTATTTCACACTGTATAATAGACACTAGGTTCATCAACCTCACTTCAACTGACTCAAATTTGTTCTTTTTATTTGCCAAATAATATTCCACTGGGCTTCCCTGGTGGCTCAGATGGTGAAGAATCTGCTTGCAATATGGGAGACGTGGGTTTGATCCCTGGGTTGGGAAGATCCCCTGGTGGAGGGCATGGCGACCCACTCCAGTTTTCTTGCCTGGAGAATGCCTGTGAGCAGAGGGGCCTGGCAGGTTACAGTCCATGGGATTGTAAAGAGTCAGACATCACTGAGAGACTTAGCACAATATTCCACTGTATATATGTACTATAACTTCTTTATCCATTCATCTGTCAATGGACATCTAGGTTGCTTCCATGTTCTGGCTGTTGTAAACAGTGCTGCAATGAACATTGGGGTACATGCATCTTTTTGAATTATGATCTTCTCAGGGTATGAAGATGCTCAACGTTGCTCATCATTAGAGAAATGCAAATCAAAATTACAATGAAGTATCACCTCACACTGGTCAGAATGGCTATCATTAAAAAACCTATAAACAACAAACACTGGCCAGGGTATGAGGAAAAAGGAAACCCTCTTGCACTGCTGGTGGGAATGTAAATTGATACAACCATTATGGAGAATGGTATGGAAATTCCTTAAAAAGCTAGGAATGAAACTACCATATGACCCAGCAATCCCAGTGCTGGCCAATATACCCTGATATATCTCATTTTCAATAAGAGAAATGCAGGGCTTCAGAAGTTTGGTTTAATGAGGAAGAGACAGAATGAAAATTGTTTTTCATTCCAAACATCTCATTACACTCTAGAACATAACTTTTCCAGGAAACTCCTTCTGAGTTTTATTTTCGTTTTTCACATTAGCTTTGTCAAGTCAGGACTCCTGTCATATAAAGGAGGAGAGGAACTCTCTCTCATTCTGTCACCATGCACTTAAGGGCATTTGTTTTTGCTTGTCATGGACTCTTCTCATTAGATGGACTCAACTTCCCATCCAGTTGAGATTCCAATTCCAGCTTCTATCATCAAATGTCAAGCACACTCCCTAACACCACCCTCAAGTATTGTGTATTTGACACTTTCCAAAGTAAAGCAGGCTTACTTTTGGTGTCCTCATTGAGCAAATCATAAAGTATTAGATAAGCATGGGCTAAGCGTGGAGTCAGAACACACCACTTCCCCAACCACTGTGAGTAAATGCGGATTTTCTTCTGTGCCGTCCAAGATCAGATGGTGGAGGGCTTTGGGGTATCTGCCACTTGGAATCACCATTGTCCCCCCTCCCTGCCATTAGCACAGAGCAGTGTCCTGTGACATTCCCAAAGCACACTGTCTTCTGGGCCACTCCAAGCGCCGATTTCCTGACCCAGATCCACAAACAAAGGGCTCAGTGCTGGACAACTGTGGTGCAGGAGGCAACTCATGTGTGTGTCATTTGGCCCTGGTGACGTGACGCGAGAGTGGACATCAAAGAAACCATCTTTTAGGAATGTTTAACTCAGTCCTAACCATCATGAGTTTTCAACAAACAGCTCCAGAATTTCTTTTCTATACTATTCTAATAGTCTGCCAATCAACCTAGACTGTCAGAGAATCAAACAGAAAGTTCCAGCAATATGGTTGTGTTAAAGGAGCGTCAGGACCTCCAGAATCTGATGAACATCTGTTGATAATCACTTTCTCCCATGTGCTAGGTCAGACACACACATATTTTATATTTAGAAAAGATTTTAATTAATTTCTTTTTAATCATAGAGTTCATTCATGTCTAGCAGATTGGAGAATGACTCCTGGAAAAACTCATCAACACCATCCTGAGAAAAAGGCATTTCTTTTTCTCTTTGTGCATCTGTTACTAATGCTCAACTTCAGAGTCACAATCGGTGGAAAACAACCTGAAGTCGGCTTACAGGAGAGGCATTAAAATTTGGTGTTGGGAGCAAGAGCTTTGGAGCAAGAGCCTAAGTTTGGGTTTGCCTGTTGGTTTTCCTACGCTTGATCTTGACTTTGGAAAGCTATTTAGCTGCTCTCAGCCTCAGTTTCCCCACACACGAGGCTGCCTTCTTTGGAGGGTGGCTGTGAGAGTTCAACGGGAGAAAGTGCAGGGCCTGGTCATGTTGCTTTTGAATGTTGGGAGAGATGGTCTTTTGAGGTCCTCCCTGTGAAAGATCTTGGGGCAAGAGGAAGCGCAGGACCCTTGTTCATTTACAGCTGAGGCCTCAGGCAGCAAGTGGTTTTGCCCAATTCACAGAGCATGGGAACGGTGGGCCACAGCACCTGGCTCCCTTCCCACAAGACCTTGTGACTTCTGAGAAAGTCGACAAGTGAGTTTTGAGCTCAGCATCTTACTCCAGATGCAAAGAACACCTGCGCTGAAAGACTCCCCTGGTGTCGGAGCGCCATCTCCAACAGATCACCCTGGGGCTTAGTTACGGTGGGCGTCCGCTGGATACTCACGCTACTTTCGCAGGCATGTAAAGGAGCAGCGGGACCACGGGAGACTCTTCATTGCCATAGACAATGAATCCCATTTTGCTTAGTCTCTGTCTGAAGTATCTTGTATTTTTTGCCAGTTGCTGTATTTTCTGCAGTCCTGAAAGGAAATAGGCATGAAATCCATCAATTCCCACCTGGAAGAGGGAAGCAGATGTCAGACTGTCTTGGCAGGGCTGTTAAGTCTTTCTGCAGGCCTGCATTAAGGGCTGGAGGAGGGTCAGAGCAGGGTGGGCAAAGATCTCCTGGTGGGCAGGTGTGGGCACTGATGCCCGGGACCTGCCCTGCACCTGGAAGACAGGGTCTGGGGGGACAGTGCTGCTGGCTACTGCTGCCAACTACAGCCAGGCTGGGCTGCAGGGCGGCAGGGGAGCAGGAAGGGTGTCTTGGCAGAACAAAGGAAGTGAACTACTATTTACTAGATACCCACAGTGTGCGGAATCTGCTAAGTACTGTAGACACATTAGATCAGGCGAAGGGAATGTGACAAGAAACGGAACACCAACCAAGAAGGAGATTGTTGCAAACCTCAACTGTCCCTCTTCTTTTCTGTTATTACTCTTCACCCCTTCCCCCATCCTCGTTTTCCAGGAAGATCCCTCCCCAGCTTTGCCAGTCCTCAGAAAGCAGACCACGATGTAGAAAACACCTCGTTTGTTGTACTTTCTCAAGAAAGCTGACCTGTCCCCATGCTGGCAACAGCCCGTGGATGGAGGACACGCTCGGCCCAAGGGCAGTTCATTTGGGTGCTGCCCAGGGGGCCGTGAGTTGGTCTCTCACGAGAAGTTTGCCAAAGAGATAATACATATGAATTAATCCAGTAAGACTGTCTTGCTAGTAGCACATGAATATAAAAAATTTAGAGAGAATCAACAATTGGATGAAAAACAGAAAATGATGGGAATTGAGAGAAAAGTGTATTCCTGGAATCTATGAGACAGAGGAAATCATTGGTCAGTAGAAACTAGGGTAGCCGCGAAGTAGAGAAGTGGGCAGTGCAAGCTCAGTCAGGAGCAATGAGAGAAAAGAGATAGAAACAGTCTCCCGGGGGAGACAGGCATGAATCAGATAATCACAAATGAATGTAAAGCTGCAACTCTGATGAGGGTGGTGACGAATGCCATGTGGTGTTTGAGAGTCTACAGTGGAGAGCTTAGACCAAGTCTGAGGAAAGCAACAGGTGATGAGTGAGCTGAGATCTGAAAGACAGACAAAGGTTACCAAAATAAAGAGGAGGGAATTCCTCGCCCAGGACACAGATGCAATGGTCCTATAGTTCATAGAAAAAACAGAATGGTTGAGAACCAGCAAGATGTGGTTGAGGGCAGGGCAAGACAGAGGAACAGTGAGTAGATTGCAAAACCGGAAGTACAGATTAGAGAATCCAGCATTGAGTGCTTGGGAAGAGGAGCTTAAAAGGGAGACAAGAGCAGGAGCAATCAGGAAGGGAAAAGAAGTCAGGGGAACTGGCATTCACTGGCAGTATTAATATGGTGTTCATGGATAACTTTTGCTTTGAGGGTTCCTAGCTGGGACTCAGTTTTAAACAGTTAGTTGCAGGTATAGTTTACTTTCATTCATATGGGCTTTTAGTTTCCTACCCAGCTTCTTGAAACAATAAGCTCTCTCCCCTAAAATTTCAGATTTGCAACATGAATCCAAGAAAGGGACTTGGAGAGGTGTAGAACCATTTGCATACATTTTGTTGCATAGACATAACCTCTTCTGTGCTTTAAAAAAAAAAAGAATTGTTTTGTAACATGCTGAAGTGTCTTCTGGTACAGAGAGGAAGCTACTTGAAGGACAGAGCTAGAAGTGAAGAAGAAAAATATTGTCATTACTTTAAAAAAATTTATTCATCCCTACATTGAAACAGTGTGTGCTTAGGAAGAAGAGGACATAGGAGCAGGGGTATTGTGGGTCAGAAAAGAGGGGCTGGAATATGACTTGCTTAAGGAAGGTGATTCAGATACAAATGAACTTATTTATAAAACAGAAACAGATCTGTGAAAAACAGACTTGTGTTTACTAAAGGGGAAACATCGGGGGATAAATCAAGAGCTTGGGATGAATGCACCCATACGACTCTACATAGCATGCGTAACCAACGAGGACCTACTATACATTAATAGCACAGGGAACGTCGCTCAATGCTCTGTGATGACCTATGAGAAACGAATCTAAAAGCAAATGTATACATGTACGTATATACCTGAATCAATTTGCTGCACACCTAAAACTAACACAGCATTGTACATCGACTATACGCCAATAAAATAAAAAAGAAAAATAAGAAGGTGTCTCAAATGAAGGCACAGATATACATCCCAGTCTTCAAAATGTATTCCATATGGCTTGTCCCCTTGTGCGTTCAGCTCTTCTGTTGATTGTTAGCTGTACAATGAATAGATGAGTTCATCAAGCTGGGTCTGATACTTCCTAAATGATCCCCCTCTAGGACTAGAAGGATTTCCTGGTCTGGAAGTACCTGAATGACTTAAATTGCTTTTCCCAATGGCATTATCTTTGCACTTGCCCATAATGACTCATCCATCATTGGGCTGACCCGCTACTTAATCGGCCCCATCTGTCCTCTCTGCCTTGATTAACCCAAGTAACTGGATCACCAGCTAATGTCATCACTTTCTGGCTTCTAGATCCTTTGGAGAGTTCACCAGATGGATCAGAATATTGATCACAGGGGCAGCTGACTCTTAAGAACTGGATGCTTTATTCTTGCCCTGTCTTTTCCCTCTTTGAACCATGCAGAACAGCATGGCAGGCAAACCATTATGACATACTTTGTGGACACCACTTTTTCTCACATAGGGCTCCTATAGATGCCTTGACGTCTTTTGAGCTGGCCAAGATACAGCTCCTTTCAATTACTTTATTGCTCACTTCTGAAAATTGGAAACATTCTCCTAGGGTTGGAGGGCCTGGAGGCAGAGAGAAATCTGTACATAAAAAATGCTACTCATCTACAGGATGTGGGTGATTTGATTAATTATGCTGTACTTTGAGCTTCTTGTTTGAAAAGCACTTCGTCAAAGTAGAAGAAATGTTTGCACTTGTCCTTTTGTACAGGGGTGGGCATGCCAGGATGACATGAAGACTGGGCATGGTAGTGACCTTCCCTTCGCAACACGTAAGGTCCCTGGTTAAATACTTTCTGGTTCTTCTTCAACCTATTACAGAGAAGACGGGGAGGCCTCACCCAGATAAATAAGTGAGGGGTCAGCTCTCTTGTGTAGAGTGCTGGGGAGCTCATGCAATTGTGTTATTTTGCTGTATTCTTGGTTCTCTGGAAAAGGAATAAGCTCTGGAGTTAAATGGACTAGGAAACTCCAAATTCCAGTGGACAACTTACAGCGTTAAAACCTCAGTTTTACCTGGAAATAAACTTATTTCACAGGAAGACTTGGAGCAATAAAGGTGTTAGTGCAGGAACATGCTTAGTCCTGTGTCTGGGAAATAGATATTTACAAGGTTAGTTACATTTTTCCATTAGCAGCAGTTCTCAGCAGCCTCAGTGGCACCTCAGAGCATTTAGAGAGCTTGGCAAAGCCCCATGCCCGGAATGTACCCCAGACAATGAAATCAGCATCTCTCGGAATGAGACCAAGTGTGAGTGCTGGTGTTCACCAGGTGCAGCCAAGGAAACTCAATGTCTCAGAAACAATGGCCGTTACCAGTTCAGCCCCATGGCCATGGATGGCTATGTTTGGCTGTGTCTTGGCTGAGTCAAGCTCCTTGGTTGGCCATGGAAAGTAAAAACATGGGCATATGTCCTTGCCTCTTGTTTGGCAAGATGACATCCCAGCAGTAATTGAACACCCGGAGTCTCCAGTGGTACATTTTGGGGGTGCTTTGCTCCCTGGACAGTTATCAGCTCCAAAATGCTCACTCGACTGGAGATCAACCCCACTGTCAACCTCGCCCCTCCCATGAGGCTGGATAAGGTCAGGGATGGACCAAGCGGGCAGATGACCTGTAGGGTGCCATTCGGCCCACTTGGATTTCTAGCTCTGCCGGCTTGAGGGATGGACTGGGTTTAACCTTCTCTCCAATGCTGTTAAAACAAAAACATCTGGGGCCGGGGAAGGAAAACAAATAAAACCCTAAGCGTCCCACTACAAAGCCATGCAGTCCCCTAATAAAAACAATCATCAGTGGTGTTTCCAAAAATATGCTTGGGACAACTCAATCTTCAGAGGGCCAGAAGGCACTGTGGACAGAGGACACACCCAGAATGACCTGTCAGAAGCTAAAGAAGGAAAATTTCTTCTCTGTTGAACCATCAGCTGGCAAGAAAGAGAAAGGCATTTCCCTCTGTAAGGCTCTGGCGCGTTTGCCAGCCAATACCAATGACAGTCTCTATTTTCTGCAGACTTTTCAAGCTTGCTGTCTAACAGAGGAAACGTGCATAGACCCAGATGCCATGTTGGGGGGGGGGGACTCATTTTATCATGCCCCGGGTTGAAAAGGGCACATACAAAAATACACATGGTGCTCCTCTCACCAGTGCAGAATACAGAGTGGGAGACCTCAAACCTGCTTCTTGGCAGCCGTGCTGGGAAAGCGTGGTTCTTTCCTTTAGAGGTGGGTAGAATCTTCCCTTAAAACCTGTCTCACAATTTAAGAAGTTGATCTTTCTCAACAACGAAATCGATCCTCCAGAGTGCCCGCAGTGGTCTCAGAAGGTCTCCCCTGCCCCTCCGCCCCCACCCCAGCCGTTCATGGCCTCCCCCTTCCTTCTATTTATTAGTCTGATGCTCACACTAGGCTTCTCCTCCAGGCACAGAGAGGGGTGGGAGCGGGGGTGCTGGGGAGAGACCTTGGAGTAAAATTTCAACGTGGCAGCAGGAACCCAACGTCTGTTATTTTAAGCTCTGGACACCAGACAGGACATTTTGTTTCCAACACACTCTGGGGCAGGGAGATCTCAGGAAAGATCAAGAGGCTACAGAGCAGCAAGAATCATAAGAATCACATTAGCAGTGACAAGCTTCCCAGTGGGATGGCGAAAACAGGGTTTGGAGTGGTTTGCGGAAAGGAACACACATTTTTATCAGGCGCTGAAGCACTCCCTTTTGATGT